ATAAATTTTGGCAGGATGAAACTGTTACAAGTCAAAGGCACGCTTTTGTAAATAACTTATCTACTGGTTTAAACCCACCATCAGGAAAGGGACGCAGGCTGATAATAGTACACATTGGCAGTTCAGACGGTTTTGTTGAAGGTGGTTTATTAACTTTTGAATCAACTCGTACCGGTGACTACCATGAAGACATGAACGCTGATGTCTTTCAAGAATGGTTCGAACAAATGATAGATCTTCTTCCTAAGAACTGTGTAATAGTAATGGATAATGCAAGTTATCACTCCAGACTTATAGAAGGACTGCCCACAACCAAGTGGTTAAAAAAAGACTTGCAGAATTGGCTGAGTTCAAAAAATATTACGTACCATCCCGGATCTATAAGAAAGGAACTTTATTCGTTGTGTGCCCTTCATAAAGAAAAATTTAAAAAATACGAAATTGATGAAATTGCCAAAAATCGTGGAATGACAGTACTTAGATCCCCACCATATCATTGTGAATTAAACCCGATTGAACTGGTATGGGCACAGATAAAGAGTGAAGTTTCAAGAAAAAATACCACTTTTAAAATTCATGATGTTAAACAGTTGTTTTTGGAGGCCGTAAATAATGTAAAACCTGAAAACTGGGAAAAGGCAGTAAATCACACTATTAAAGAAGAGGAAAAAATGTGGAAGCTGGACAATATTACTGATAAAATGATCGAGCCAGTTATTATAAATCTTGGTTCTGAAAGTTCATCTTCTGAATCTGATTTGGATTTGTAACAAGTAGCTGTAAGTTTTATATTAATATTTTTATTCATCTATTTAACATACCTTAGACGGTTTTAAAAACTCTTTTTCTCTTTTGTAATTTTTAAAAATTAAAAAAAATGTGAATTTTTTAAAACCCTTTTTAATGTAGGCCAGTCAGTTCTAATATAGTGTGTGATAAAAGAGGTCACTTTTGTTTACATACACATAACACTTTATAACACTGAAATAATTCATTTATTTTTTACAATTATTCAAAGTAATTTTTCAATTAATCTTGAGCACGCCCATGGAGTGGTCGGAGGTACCAGTTAAAATTATGCTAATTACTATCTCGTTCATAAAAATAAACTATAGTATTTCATAAAATCTTATATTAATCGAATTTATTATAATCATTTATTATAATATACTAATTTGTTAATATTGTTTATAATGTAGCCATCGTGCAATCAAATATTAAAATTGTCTGTTCAGAAATATTAGTATTGTTTTGAAGTTTTTTTTGTGCCATTTTAAAGTAATTACTATTTAAATGGGAATAAACCATAATTAAAATTTAAAGTCAGTTTATTGACGTTTTAATATCCACTTCGGAAATCGTTCTCAAAATACAAACATTAGTAAATTAAACAAATTTTGTTTTTTTGTTACTTGGTGAAAAATTCTTTTAATATTTTAATTTTATCTGACTCATTTGTATTGACAATTCAGACATACATTATATTTTAAAGTAGACGACTTTAAAATCATATTCATATTGAATTGATGGATTCGATCGTAACTTGATGGAAATTCATTTTATTTAACAATAAAATACTGAAAACTTTGTTTTCAAACTTCTACAACATTTATTTAAATCTCTTATTACTACAGCTATTTTGGCTGATTACCTTTCTCAAGTGATCTAGTTTTGGCATGCATTTACATTTTATAGTCTCTAATGAAATAGGTTGAGGAGGGGAGAACTGTTTGTCTCAAGTTGGTCATTCAGAATTATATCTGTGTTTTTTAATTTGTTGATTTCCATAGATTCTAACAAGGATAGCTTAAGGCCTTTATTTTGAATGTGAAGAATTTTAAATTCGTCATTAAAAGAATGATTGTGATCTAGAAGGTGAAGTGCGTATGCAGAATCTGTTTTTTTTATTATTGAAAGCACTTTTATGTTCTGCTATTCGTTCATTAAAGTTTCTACCAGTTTGACCGATGTAAGTTTTTGGGCAGTCGCCACATTTAAGTTTGTACACACCACTGTGTAAGTGTTTTTTTATTTTGGCTCTTGTTGTTTTTGATATATTTGTCTAGGTTGTTATTTGTTTGCAAAGCTGGTGTTATTCCTTTCTTTTTTGTTTGTTTGGCTATTTTAGTTGATATTTTGCTTGTATATGTAATCGAGCAGAAGGTACTGGGTTTTTTCTCTGGTGGTGGAAATACTAATTTCAGGGCTTTCTTGTGTAGTTTTTGATTTAACATTTTATTAATTGTTTGTTCGTTGTATCCGTTGTTTACTGCTATTTGCTTGATGATATTTAATTCTGTCCCAAAGTTGTATTTTGATATCGGAATTTCTGTTAATCTATGTAAAATACTATGATAGGCTGCCAGTTTATGTTGCGTTGGATGGGATGATGAATTATGTATAGTCGTGTCAGTATGGGTAGGTTTATGAAATATGGAGAAGTCATGTTTGTTTTTAAGACTGATCATTTTTAAATCTAAAAAGTTTATGGATTGATTTTGTTCTGCTTCTACTTATTGTAAATTCAATATGACTATGAAGTAAATTAATATACGATAAAAATTGATCAAGTTGCCTGTTAGTTCCTGTGAAACATACCAGTGTGTCGTCTACGTATCTCCACCAATATAAAAACTGTTTAAATATGGTATGTTTTCAAATATGTGTCTCTAAATGATCCATAAAAATATCTGATAGAAATGGGCTTAGAGGATTACCCATTATAATTCCGGCACTGTTATTTGTATATATTTGATTATTAAATTTAAAGTAGTCCTGGTTTATGCTAACTTCAAAAAGATGTAAAATTTCATATGCAATTATTGGATTTGTACTATTGTGATCTAAAAAGCTTTTTTACTAGAATTAAATTTGCTGCAGGAGCGATACTAGGAAAAAGATTTTTTACGTCAAATGAAATTAATCTGGAGTTGTTAGGTAATTGAATATGTTGTATTTTATTAACTAGTTCTATTGTATTTTTTATGGTAAATCTAGGTGAAAATTTAGTGTATTCAAAAATAATGTCTAACAGTTTTTTTGAAAGCTTATATGAGGGGGCTGTATAAAAAGAAACTACAGGTCTTATTGGGTGATCCTGTTTGTGTAGTTTAATGAAAAAGTATAATCTAGGTTCATGATATTAAGGTATTTCTGTTTTATTGAATTTTCAAATTTCAAATTTTAAAATCAATAGTAAATCCAATAGAACAGAAATACCTCAATATCATGAACCCACAGCCTCCTAATTTATACTTTTTTATTAAACTACACAAACCGGATTATCCAATAAGACCTGTAGTTTCTTTTTATACAGCCCCGTCATATAAGCTTTCAAAAAAACTGTTAGACATTATTTTTGAATACACTAAATTTTCACCTAGATTTACCATAAAAAATACAATAGAACTAGTTAATAAAATACAACATATTCAATTACCTAACAACTCCAGATTAATTTCATTTGACGTAAAAAATCTTTTTCCTAGTATCGCTCCTGCAGAAAATTTTATTCTAGTAAAAAACCTTTTGGACCAAAATAGCACAAATCCAATAATTACATCTGAAATTTTACATCTTCTTAAAGTTTGCATAAACTATTTTGAATTTAATAATCAAATATATACAAATAATAGTGCAGGACTTAAATTGGGTAATCCTCTAAGCCCATTGCTATCAGATATTTTTATGGATCATTTATAGACAAATATTTCAAAACATTTCGTATTTAAACAGTTTTTATATTGGTGGAGATACGTAGACGACGTGCTGGTATGTTTCACAGGAACTAACAGGAAACTCGATCAATTTTTATTGCATATTAATTCACTTTATAGTCATATTGAATTTACAATAGAAACAGAACAAAATCAATCCATAAACTTTTTAGATTTAAAAATTATCAGACTTAAAAACAAACATGACTTCTCCATATTTCATAAACCTACCCATACTGACAAGACTATACACAATTCATCATCCCATCCAACACAACATAAACTGGCAGCCTATCACAGTATGTTACATAGTTTAACAGAAATTCCAATGTCAAAATACAACTTTGAAACAGAATTAAATATCATCAAGCAAATAGCAGTAAACAACGGATAAAACGAACAAACCAATAATAAAATTTGCGACACAATTGGTCTCATTTCGCATAATTAGAGCCGCTTCTTTGATTTTTCTCTTTTTACTATCTGTTTGTTTGTTTATATCTTTGCGTGTTTATATATTTGAAATCTATCAAATTTTCTATTTTTAATATTAGATCGATGTTCACCTATTTTAACATTGAATGGCCTTGATGGTTCACCTAAATAAAACTGATCGCATTCACAAGGTATTTTATAAGTACAATTCTTTGTCATTTCTTGTTCATTGTTAGGTTTGGTTCTAGACAAAATAGATCTCTATGTATTTGTTATTTTGAATGTTGTTGAAACGTTAAATTTATATCATATCCTCTTAAGTTTTTTTAATAATCCTTTTATGGGTGGTATTGTTATTTTGTTCTTATTATTCCTTGTGTATGCTATAGGATCTCTTTCTAAGTGGTTCTGTTCTATTTGGTCAATTGTTGAAAATTCCTTATTTATAAACGATAAAGGATAATCATTTTTTAATAAAATAGATGTTAACAAATATTTTTCCTCCAAGAACGAATTTTCTTTAGAACAAGCAATTTCGGTTCTATCGTATAAGGATTTAATAATGTCCTTTTTAATCTGAATATTGTGATTTGATTTAAAATTTAAATATCTGTTGGTGTGTGTTGATTTTCTGTACACCTAAGTCTCATATCCAGTATCGTAAATTTGCTAATGCTTGTATTATGAGAACGATTTCCGAAGTGGAAATTGCACGTCAATAAACTTAATTTGGTCAATTGTGGCTTATTCTCATTTAAATAGTAATTACAGAAATATTGAGTCTATGTGGCATTGGATTCCTAATGGTTACCAAAAATTATTTAATGATCCACATATGCTCATACTTACCATAACTTAAGGCAGCATTGGCAACTAGAATGACAATTCCACAGGTGATAAAAAATTTCGTTGCTGTTCCGTATAGACCAATTAGAAAATAACATGCTGCAGTGAATGATACGGGTAATATTATAAAAAAGGGTAGTTCTGCTAATGTTTTACTGATAAAATATACATCTGTGCGATACATGCCATTTCGGTGTTCTCGAAGAAACACCGGCAACTCTGCGGTGAATACCTACAATGAATAAAAAAGTCAAATATACAGGGTGTTTCAAAAAAAGGTAACCCCGTCTCTAGCGTAGGTAAAAACCTAAACAATAATTGGGGTTTGCTTAGTAAAAAATTTTTGTAACGCCATTGGTTTTCAAGATACAGGGCGTTGAAGAAAAAAAATTTTACGCATTTTTTACGATTTTGCCGAAACTACTGGCAACATTATAATGAAATTTTATACGAATATGTTTTGAAAGCTGATACATCTGAATTTGTTTTTATATCTGATTCTCATAGAGGGCGCTAGTTACACGGATTGTACTAAATATTAGTCAATATAACTTTTTTAAGAGTATAATTATTAATCAAAATTCTAGGTAAACTTAAATATCATTCAATTTTACACGAAAAAAAAACTCTTGATAAAACTCGATACTGTGTATCGTTTTCGGAATATTTTGATTTGAAAATTATGAAGTAATAATTGATGCTGGTATAAATTAAAGTAAATGTTCAAAATGCCCTCCGTTTTCGCGAATACACAAGTCTATTCTTTCTTATAAAGATTCCATTAACCTTCTAGACGATAGGGAATCAGCTCTGATATCATTAAAATCACGTTGAATTCTTTCTTCCAATTCTTGGCGTAAATTTACCTCTGTAGCATAGACTTTTTCCTTAATACACGACCAAACTGCGTAGTCCAAAGGGTTAAAATCGCATGACCGAGGAGGCCAATGAATCGGAGCTTCTGCACCTCTACCAATCCATCGATTCGGAAAATGATTACTCAACCAATTACGACACCTTCTATCAAAGTGTGGTGGAGCTCCATCGTGCATAAAAAATAAAGATCTTCGCTCGTTTAGCGTTAAATCTTCTAAAATCTCGAATAAGGAATTGTTTAAAAAATCAAGATACATATCACCATTTAAATTTCCAGATAGAATATGATAACCTATTAATTTGTTACCTAAAGTTGCTGCCCAAACATTAACTTTAAATGAGTGTTGGTAATGTGATACCCTTTTGACTCGTGGATTCTCATCACACCAGTAGTGTGCATTATGGAAGTTAAACATACCTTGTCGCGTAAAGGTGGCCTCGTCCGTAAAAAGAATGCATTTTAAAAAATTTGGATTGTGGGCTGTCCTTTGTTGCAATGTTTCACAAAAATCCACTCTAACCGGTAGATCATCTGGCAAGAGCTCTTGGACTTGTCTGTAATGATAAGGATGTAATTGCTGTTCTTTCAGTATCCGCCAAGTACTTGAAGAAGAAGTATTTGTTTGTCTTGCTATATTCCTTACGCTAACTGTTGGATCTTGATCAAGTAAATTTAAAATATTATTTTCTTTATTAATTGTTCTTGTTGTTCTTGGTCTACCAGAATTTATTTTATTTGGTCTCACATTCCAGTTTCTCGACAACGTTGTTCAACGGCTCTAAATGTTTTTTTACTTGGTAAGTTTCTTCTAGGAAACTTTTCTGCATAACGTGTCACAGCTGCACTAAACATCTAAACATTCGCCTAAGGTTAATAACATGTCAGTGTATTCAACATTTGAGTACATTTTGATTTGATTTTACAAATAACAAGGTTTCAAAACTCTAATTATTGTTGATTTATCGTCATAACAATCAATAAATGTCAGATTTCCATGGCACACTTGGAGAAAATAGAGATATACCTATTAGAACTTTATCATTACTACCAGCATCAATTATTACTTCAGAATTTTCAAATCAAAATATTCCGAAAACGGTACACAGTACGAGTTTTTCGTGTAAAATTGAATGTTGTTTAAGTTTACTTGAAATTTTGATTAATAATGTATACTATGCATGTACGATACGTGTAACTAGCGCCCTCTATGAGAATCAGATATAAAAACTAATTCATGGGATGTATCAGCTTCCAAAACATATTCGTATAAAATTTCATTACAATGTTGCCAGTAGTATCGGCAAAATCGTAAAAAATGCGTAAATTTTTTTTCTTCTACGCCCTGTATCTTGAAAACGGATGGCGTTGCAAAAATTTTTTATTAAGCAAACCCCAAATTATTTTTCAGTGTTTTACCTACCCTAGAGACGGGGTTACCTTTTTTGAAACACCCTGTATAATTTAATAGTTAAAGTTTCTTAAGTTTATTAGTAAATGTGTAAATCACTAGAGGGAGCAACTAAAATTATAAATTTAATTGAAAATAAGCATAGCCAGAAAAATAAATAGTCATAAATCATTATAGAGTAAAGAAACCTAAACCGTAAAGTCAATAAACATTCCAGAAATCGGTGATTTCAGTGGCGAATCTAGACATTTGTCTTGGTGAGGAAACTCCTAACTAGGGTGGAGGGACTTCCTATCAATCACCAACTAAAAGACATAAAAAAGATAAATCCAAACTACATAAAAGACATAAATATTAAAGAAGTTTTCTTTAATTTTGGACCTTTCAGTACCAAACTATGACTTATAGTAACTGATTTTGGATGAAATCAGTATTGGATACAAGGAGGCTAGACTAAATGAGTTTTACTGAATTTGCTTTAAATAATAAAAAAAGAAAAGATACACACAGAAGTCGAGGGTGCGGATTGTCATTAAGATTGCTAACAAGAGATGGTGTATAAAAAAAGATGAAACAAACTATTTATACACTTGTGATGTGATACTTGGAGCGGTTCTGAAGATCTGCGAATAATATAGAAAAATTCAATGCTATCACGGCTCTAAAATACACGAAGACCAGTAAATCGAAAGCGATAACAATTTTTGTGAAGAAGTTAAGAGAAGAATACATATCGCTAATAAAACATATAACAAACTAATTCAACATTTAAGATCTACCAACATCACAAGAAAAACCAAATGCAAAATATACAAGACCCTGATAAAATTAGTTCTTGTATATGGATCAGAGACATGTACACTGTTAAAAAGCGACGATGATCTATTAGGTACGTTTGAACAAAAAATCCTTCTTCTTCTTCTAGTTCCATGACCGTTATCGATCGTTGGATATCATGTTGGCTACCATATTCGCTATCGTGACTTTATTGACAGCAGCTCTAAATAACGATGTAGTTGATTTTCCATACCATTGCCTTAGATTTTTTAGCCATGATGTTCTTCTTCTACCAGGACCACGATTACCTTGGATCTTTCCCTGAATGATCAGATGTAAAAGATCATATTTTTCAGGGTGTCTCATAATATTATATATACAGACTCATATAGACACATATTATATTATAAGGGGGTGAAGGAAAATGACATATGGCTCAGAAGATATAACTTTGAACTCTACACAGTTAACAATGAACCCGAGTTCATAACATTCATAAAGATCGGACGTCTGCGCTGGATGGGCCATGTTGAACGGATGTTGGAGACTGAAACATCAAAACATATAATGAGGCAAACACCAGTAGGGAGAAGGTCAAAGGAAAACCCAAACTTAGATACATGGAACAAGTGGAACAAGATCTGAAAACACTTAAGATTACCAACTGGAAAACAAAGCAAAGAACAGAACAAAATGACAGAAAATTCTAGAACAAGCCAGGACCCAGAAAGGGTTGTCAAGCTACTGATGATGATCATATCACGGCTCTATTATATTAGTGTCGTTAAAGGACCGTTATCTTAACGTTATATTAACAATGTTTAATCTAATTTGGTATTTTAGATTAAGATATTTCAAAGATTTACGTATATACACACTTAGAAAAAATTAACAGAGAACGGTAAGATAAGCCAACGTCTTTACTCGAAGACTGCTTTGCTATAAGTCCTTTTTTTCCTCTCAAAATTTTTTAAGCTGACAAAAAAAAGTGGGATATCCCCCAATTAAAAATGACAACTTTTTAAAAAAAAAGTAAAACTGTTTTCCGTACATTGAAAGGTAAATAACGGGACTCTTGTAGTTGGAAGCCGTGAGAAAATAATATAATCTTTTGAATTAGGTTTTTTGATACTGTAAAGTGATTGTACGACTGTATTTACCAAAGTTATCAAAAATACCCGCCTAGAACCATAAAAGGTTAACTAAGCTCTACCATAAAATACTCTACTTCGGCCTCTTTTGATCAGTAGGACCTATCTGTACTTTGAGAACTCCGTGATAGTCGCTATGTTCCAATAAAATTTGCTAATGTTAAACCTGCATATCTATTTTATTATAAAGAAAAATATAGACAGCCGAGATATTCAAATTATATGCAATCTATATTGGAATCAAACAGCAAATGTCAAGGTTGAGGGCAGACTAACAGAAGAAATTCAAATCCGTCGAGGAGTCCGGCAGGGATGTATCTTATCGCCACTTTTATTTAATCTGTATAGTGAAGCTATCTGTGAACAAGCACTCGAGGAAGAAGATTTTGGTCTGATAATAAATGGTGAGACGATCAACAATATACGGTATGCTGACGATACAGTTCTCCTAACTGGAACGCTAGTAGAACTACAACATCTCGTTCAAAGTCTCAATATATACTGTAACAGTTACGGCTTGAAAATTAATTTAAAAAAAACTAAATTTATGGTAATCACGAAATCAAAGAACATCAGAGCTAATCTTGTAATAGACAATACAACGATTGAGCGTGTGCCCTGTTATAAATATCTAGGTGCTTGGATCACAGACGATACTGATCAAACAAAAGAGATTAGATGTAGAATAGAAATCGCTAGATCAGTCTTTAATAGAATGCGCAAACTCTTTTGCAATCGTGATATCAATATAAAGTTACGAATACGAATGCTGCGGTGTTATGTCTTTTCTACCCTGTTATATGGAGTTGAGGCTTGGACACTAAAACAGTTGACCATAAAAAACATCGAAGCTTTCGAGATGTGGTGCTATAGGCGCATTCTCAGAATATCATGGATGGACCGCGTCACTAACACGCAAGTACTCCAAACTTTAGACAAAAGATGCGAAATTCTAAATGAGATAAAAACTAGAAAGATGGAATACTTGGGGCACATTGTGAGAGGTGAAAAGTACGAAC